GTGATAGCGCCACTGCACTCCAACCTGGGCAACAGAGCGAGACTCTGTCTTAAAAAAAAAAAAAAAAAATGCTTAATCCCTCGGAAAAGCTGAGCGGAGAAGAGCAAGGCACCACCTGGCTCACTGAGTGGGAAAGCCAGGGAAGGTGCCACACCCTCCCTCGTAGCCACCTGGGGCTGTGGCTCCTTCACAGGGAATGAAGCTGGCCAGCAGCGTCCACTGTGCGGGAGACAGGAGTTCTACATTCACTTTAGTATAGGCGACTTCACTTTAGTGTTGAGACTGCTGAGTGTTTAGAGTGGAAGGTGAGGAATGTGTTTTGGGGGAGAGGGAGGTCCAGCCATCCGAGGTCGGTGCTGGTTAGCCTCAGCGCTCAAGTTCTTCTTACCACAGACCAAAAAGATAAAAGCTGAAGATAAGGTTTAAGAGGCTTCGACTCCTGCAGACACAGGGCACTGGTTTTTGGGGCTTCGGGCCAGTCTAGAACAGCACTGGCTTGTCCATGCCTCTGAGCAGTGCCTGATTCTCAGACTCTGTACTCAGACCTGGGCACTGCGCAGGACAGCATCCAAATGAGAGAGGGGAAGAAAAGCAGACAGGAAAGAGGGAACAATTGTTAGTGTGGGTTGGTACCCAGTAGGGGACTTGCACCGACTGCCTCTCTCTTGTGCCCCTCCTTCTCAGGCCCAGTGCCCGAGCCATGGCACTGCCTCGGACGCTGGGGGAGCTGCAGCTGTACCGGGTCCTGCAGCGCGCCAACCTCCTTTCCTACTATGAGACCTTCATCCAGCAGGGAGGGGACGACGTGCAGCAGCTGTGTGAGGCGGGTGAGGAGGAGTTTCTGGAGATCATGGCACTTGTGGGCATGGCCACCAAGCCCCTCCATGTCCGGCGCCTGCAGAAGGCACTGAGAGAGTGGGCCACCAATCCAGGGCTCTTCAGTCAACCAGTGCCTGCTGTTCCCGTCTCCAGCATCCCGCTCTTCAAGATCTCTGAGACTGCGGGTACCCGGAAAGGGAGCATGAGCAATGGGCATGGCAGCCCAGGGGAAAAGGCAGGCAGTGCCCGCAGTTTTAGCCCCAAGAGCCCCCTTGAACTTGGAGAGAAGCTGTCACCACTGCCTGGGGGACCTGGGGCAGGGGACCCCCGGATCTGGCCAGGCCGGAGCACTCCAGAGTCGGACGTTGGGGCAGGAGGAGAAGAGGAGGCTGGCTCGCCCCCCTTCTCCCCCCCTGCAGGGGGAGGAGTCCCTGAGGGGACTGGGGCTGGGGGGCTGGCAGCAGGTGGGACTGGGGGTGGACCAGACCGACTGGAGCCAGAGATGGTACGCATGGTGGTGGAAAGTGTGGAGAGGATCTTCCGGAGCTTCCCAAGGGGGGATGCTGGGGAGGTCACATCCCTGCTAAAGCTGAATAAGAAGCTGGCACGGAGCGTTGGGCACATCTTTGAGATGGATGATAATGACAGCCAGAAGGAAGAGGAGATCCGCAAATACAGCATCATCTATGGCCGTTTCGACTCTAAGCGGCGGGAGGGCAAGCAGCTCAGCCTGCACGAGGTGAGAACCCCCAGGCCTCCTAGGATTGACCTTGACTCCCGGGCCTCCAGCCGCTTACCTCTGCAAGTTTCTACGGTGTCCAACTCTGTTTCATTACCCCTTGACCAGGACCCCAGGCCCTGATCCCCTCCCTGACAGGCCCCCACCCCAGCGGCCGCAGTGCTTCCATCCTCAGCTGAGGGGGAAGCAGAGATACAGGCCGCACCAAGCTGTTCAGCTCCTTGTCCCTCAGGACCCCACAGGAGTGGAAGAGGCCCTGGGCATTCCTAGGAAGCTGTGGGTGCTGATCTCTGTCTGTCTTCCTCAGAAAGCTCCCATGTAGTGTCAAAACCAAAGCAAGCATCTGATGGATGGGCCTCATTTGTCTGATGGTGAAGGGGTGTGAGGAGGTCTGGTGAGGCAGCAGGGGAGTTCAAATTCTGACTCTCCTGGCTGCCCTCTTTCCACAGCTCACCATCAATGAGGCTGCTGCCCAGTTCTGCATGAGGGACAACACACTCTTATTGCGGAGAGTGGAGCTCTTCTCTTTGTCCCGCCAAGTAGCCCGAGAGAGCACCTACTTGTCCTCCTTGAAGGGCTCCAGGTGAGACCCCTTCCCCAGGTCCTTCCTGGACTGGAATCCTGCTATGGGGTTAGATTATGTCCTAACCTTCAGCTCAGGCAGCTCTAGGCCTGCTTCCCGCCCACCTGGATGTCCTGCTTTTGGTCAAGTCAGCTTGTCTCAGGTCTGGTCTCTCCTCCCATCCATGTCGGGTCCCCCCAACCCCTACAACAATAGGGCCTGAGCTAGAGACTCTTTCTCGGCCAGCTTCTTGACAAAGGTTTTAAATAACACGTCTCTGGCCGGGTTCTGTGCTCTGCCCGTCACGTGGCCCTCATCAGCCTCACCCACTTTATTCTTATCCATCTTTTCAGGCTCCACCCTGAAGAACTGGGAGGCCCTCCACTGAAGAAGCTGAAACAAGAGGTATGTTTTCCGGGGTGCATGTAGGGGCATTGGGCAGCCTTCCTCAATCCCCTCCCTTGCCAGGTCTTCATTTCCCCATTTTGGGCATCCACAGGTTGGAGAACAGAGTCACCCTGAAATCCAGCAGCCTCCCCCAGGCCCTGAGTCCTATGCACCCCCATACCGCCCCAGCCTGGAGGAGGACAGCGCCAGCCTGTCTGGGGAGAGTCTGGATGGACATTTGCAGGGTGAGTGTGCCTCAGAATACTTTTCTCTTCATTGAGGGTGGGGGAGTAGGGGAGGGGTTGGGGGGAGGAGTGAGCCAGGAGGCAGTGCCTGGAACAGGGTTGGGAAGCTTGGCTGGAGGGGGGGCAGAAGGGCCTGTGGGCTGGCTGTGTGGTTGAGGGTGGGGGTTCCATTGGCTGCAGCCCCTTACCTGACCAGTGCCCATGCCCACAGCTGTGGGGTCATGTCCAAGGCTGACGCCGCCCCCTGCTGACCTGCCTCTGGCATTGCCAGCCCATGGGCTATGGAGCCGCCACATCCTGCAGCAGACACTGATGGACGAGGGGCTGCGGCTCGCCCGCCTCGTCTCACACGACCGCGTGGGCCGCCTCAGCCCCTGTGTGCCTGCGAAGCCACCTCTCGCAGGTGAGGCAGCCAGCAGTGCTGTCCCCAAGCACCCCAGCCACCCAGGCCCCACACAGCAATTCTGGTGTCCTGGGGCCAGGTGGGAGGAAGAGGGATATAGTCGTCAGAGCGGGCAGTAGGAGGGCTGGGCTCCAGCCAGCCAGGCCTTGGGGTGCGGTGAGGCAGACCCTGCTGGGCTGCTCCCACCTTGAAAAGTCTGGTCCTAGTGTAGATCTGTGAAAGGGGAACTGGGGAACGGGGAACAGAGAAAAGAGGATGAAAGCACAGGAAGGAGGAGCATCAATAAGGGAAGCTCAGATGGCACTTCCACCAACCCAGGAGTGGGGAGCAGGCTAGGAGTTGCGGGGATGGGGATGGGGATGCCCAGCTTGGAAGCAGAGGAGCCCAAAGCAGTGATGCTTTGTGTGTGGAAGGGGGAAGAGGGAGTGGGCAGGCAGAGGGCTGGGCAGCCGCTGGGCTGAGAGTGACGCAGCAGACAAAGCCACCAACCCTGGCTTGGTATTTTTAAACTGTGCGTGGGTGGGAAGTGGGGGCGGGGACTGGAAGGGGGCCTCTTCTTGAGGGAGGAGCTCGGAGGCTGGCTTCCTGTGCTCCCCCTGATTTGGCTACCAAAACACTTGGGGGGCCATGGTAGGGTGACCTGGGAGGGGCCTGGGAGGGGGCCAGGGATGAGTGGGGGTGGCAAAGCTTGGGAAGAGGGGGAGGGGAGAGGTCAGAGCCAAACCACCCCCGCAGCTCCTGACAGAACCAGAAATTCCAGCACAACGGAGGAGGCGGGAGAGACAGAGAAAGAGAGAGACACAGACAGAGACAGAGCTACACACAGCCAGAGAGGGGAGGGGGCTCACACACACAGGAATGGAACCCCCCATACACATGCAGTGGGCAGGAAGCAGTAATTCAACAAACGGAGCCCATCTTCACAACTTTCTTTGCCCCTGCTTCTGTTCCCAACCACTTCTGTCTGCAGCCAGTTACCCTGCAGTCTCCTAACTGCCCCCTTTTCCCTGCAGAGTTCGAGGAAGGGCTGCTGGACAGATGTCCTGCCCCAGGACCCCATCCCGCACTGGTGGAGGGTCGCAGGAGCAGCGTGAAAGTGGAGGCTGAGGCCAGCCGGCAGTGAGGGGTGGACTGGTGTCTTCAGACCCAGGACCTCAGACTTCTGGCTCACACAGACCCCCATGCTCTCCATCCCCGGAATATAGTCACAACCCTGGATCCTTCCTCTGCCCTTCTCCTGCCTCCCCACCTGCTCCATGGGCATAAGACTGTGGGGCTTCAAGCAATAACAAGCAGGGGCCTGGAGAGAGGACACAAGGAGGGTGCGTGGTGCCCTCACCCCTGCCCAGAGCGAGGGGGCAAGGACTCTGCCTCCAGGGCATCTGGGGTTCTCCCCTCCCTCACACGACACACTCCCATTCTCTTTAGGTTTGCACCAGTGGTGTGAGCAGTTGGACTCAGTTTGGACAAGGGGGAAAGGGGGACTTCCCTGGGAAGGTCCAGCAGCTAAAAGTGGCAACATTTGCCCCCAGAATTGGGGGCCTGGGAACACTGGACCTGCTCCTTCTTCCCTCTCCTTCCCCGTTTTTGTGCTTCTGGTTTGTTTCTTTAATTTAACAAGTGCTGCAGTTTGCCCTCCCATTCCCATCTATCCCCCAAGTCCTTTGCAATTTCCTCCCTCCTGCCCTACATGGGGGCGGTGGGTGTGGGATCCCTTCACTGGCCCCCTTGGGAGGCCTGGGTTGGACTCAGGGTCTCCTCCAGCTGGGGGCTGGACCGCAGCACCTATCTGAGCAGTTAGAGCGTCTTTCTTTTCAGATTGTGTACAGTAGATTATTTATTTTGTTATTTTGGAATAAAATTTATTTTATGGCTTAGGATCTATGACCCCTGCCTCGAGAGGGAGAAACGGTGACATGGGATGGGGGAGTGAAGGGAAGCTGGCAGTGGATAGGGCAACAGAGAAGATACAGCAGGCAGGGCCCCTTCATACACTGGAGGGCCACATGGTCAGGCCTGGACCCGGACTCTCACCCTGGCTCCCAGGCAGCATTGGAGATATGGAGCCATATGTAGATGTCACAGCCACTTGGACCCACTTGGGCACAGTCAGACTCCAAATTCAGAGTATTTTTGGGTTAGCATATGTCAGAGAGGCCAGCACACTTGCTGCTGTCTTCTGTGCAATGTCTCACACTCCCAAATTTGTGTTGTCAAACAGGCAAAAGCAGACACATGTTCTATGTGGTCATGCAACTAACATGCCAGCTATACATTAACATATCTTAGGTACATACACGTTCACACAGCTATACATGAAGAAACTCGGCCCTTGTACTTTTGCATAGTCTCATACACATATCAGAAGCCTCCACCTCGCTAACAGGAATTTGGGGCTTTGGGAGATTTTTTAATCAGGGCAAAACTTGTATTGGTAACCACATGTCCAGACCCCTCCTGTGCTCCATCCAGGGTCCCTTGAGCTGCTTCCCATTCCCCCAGGGCTGAGACCCAATATCCTCTATCCCTGGCCTCTAGTGTAAATGTGTCTGTATGTTCCTGCCTAACCATCCTAGGCCCTGGGTCAGAGTGGGCGGAGAAGCCTTCCATGCCCTAACCTGTACTCCTACCCAGCCCACCTCCTGCTCAGCCCCATCACCCTCAGAGAGCTCTGTATGTGTGTGTGCGTGCGTGTGCGCGCTGCAGGTGCGGGCATGTTGGGGCGTGTCTCAGAGCCTGAACTTCCCTTCCAGTCAGTGCTGGAAGGAGGTGGGCAGGGGAATGATAGAAAGGAAGGAGTGGATTGGCTCCACCCACCATGCATTCTCCTGTCTTTTCCTCCTGACCGAGAAGTAGGTGGGGATAGGAGGGCACCCTCCCCATCTGCTGCTTGGCAGGGCATGAGTAAGTGTCCAGAGCAGGTCTGTGGGGGTAGTAGAAGAGCTGTCTCTCTGGGTTCTCCCTCCCGGCTGGGATCACCAACTGGGGTTGGCCCTTAGGTCCATGTGGGACATTGAGATCCCAGATTGCCCATAGTGGGAGGGTTGCAGGAGGGGCTGGGCCCCCAAGGACCCTCCCCCCGATTCCCCTTGCCCCTCCAGGAGAAGCTTAGTGAGGTCCTGTTCAGTGGGAGGCAGCAGAGGAGGGAATATGTCTTCACCAATCCTACAAGGAGATGGAAGAAGCAGTGGAGTAGGCATGGCGCCCACTCCCCTAGATGCCACCCAGCCTCTACTACTAAGCTGCCACTCACCAAGTGCCCTGAGAAAACGCTCTCACTGGCTGGCTCAGGCAGCTGTCTTCCACCATGGTCACATCTGAGCAGAGCAGGGGGTCAGGGCTGGACACAGCATGCTCCTGAGGCTGGCATGGCAGCAGGCCCCTGCCAGGAACCAGCAACGGAAATAAGGAGGGAGGGGCAAGGCCAGGAAAGAAGAGGCACATGGGGTCAGGAGGGGCCTTGTCACTCACTGGGGGTGAGGCTGGTCAAAGGACAGGCTCATCTGGCCCAGGCTGGGGGGCATCTGCAGGTGAGGCCTAGAATTAGGGAGAGCACAGTTAGAGGAAGGCAGGCTAGGCAAAGGCAAAGTGGTGCAAAGTCAGGACCACTGAGTGAGGAAACAAGCTCCAGCTCCTTATCCTGACTTAGTAGTGGCTTTGGACAAGCTATTTCTATGCTCTGAGCTCAGTCTTCTCATCTGTAAAATGTGTGTGTTACGGGGGTGGATTAGCCAATTTCTTTTTTTTTTTTTTTTTTTTTTTTTGAGGCAGAGTCTGCACTCTGTTGCCCAGGCTGGAGTGCAGTGGCGCGATCTCGGCTCACTGCAAGCTCCGCCTCCCGGGTTTGCGCCATTCTCCTGCCTCAGCCTCCTGAGTAGCTGGGACTACAGGCACCCGCCACCGCGCCCGGCTAATTTTTTGTATTTTAGTAGAGACGGGGTTTCACTGTGTTAGCCAGGATGGTCTCGATCTCCTGACCTCGTGATCCGCCCGCCTCGGCCTCCCAAAGTGCAGGGATTACAGGCGTGAGCCACCGCGCCCGGCAGGATTAGCCAATTTCTAATGTTTCTTTGGACTCTGAACTTTGATAGTTCTTAAGTCCCCAAGTCCTCACTCCCGCCTCACCTTCTGGGAGGGGAGATGTTGTGCCTTGACTAAGAGTTAATAAGCACCTGAGTGTTATACTTGGGGAAGAAAAATGTCTAGGCCATCTCAAGGCCAAAACAGATGAGTAAACAAAAATCAACACAGCAGAGAAGTGACAGTGGCTCTCAGGGGCAGGACAGAAACAGTCATGCACCACACAACGACATTTCTGTCAGCTACAGACCACAGTGGTCCCATATGATTATAATCAAGGCCAGGCAGAGTGACTCACACCTGTAATCCTAACACTTTGGGAGGCTGAGGTGGGAAGATCACTTGAGCCCAGGAGTTTGAGACCAGCTTGGGCAGTAAGTGAGACCTTGTCTGCAGAAAAACCTTAAAAAAAGAATTAGCCGAGTATCCTGGTGCACAACAGCATGAGGATTGCTTGAGCCCAGAAGGTAGGGGTTGCAGGGAGCTAAGATTGCACCACTGCACTCCAGTGAGTGAGACCTTGTCTCAAAAAAAAAAAAAAAATTATAATCAAGCTGAAAATTCGTATCACACAAATATTTACCATTATGTAACTATTTCCTTATACTGTTCAGAACGGTATCATGCTGCTGAGGTTTAAAGCTAGGATCAACAGGCTACACAATATAGCCTCAGTGTATAGTAGCCTATACCATCTAGGTTTGTGTAATTACACTCTATGATATTCGCATAACTATGAAACTGCCTAAGGACAGAAAATGCTCTTTCATTAAGTGATCCACGACTGGACTTACACAGCTTTTGCTATGAGCCAGGCACTATGCTCAGCTTTGTAAGTGTTATGAACTCATTTAATCTCCAGAATAATGCAGTGAGGTAGGTTATTATTATTAGCATTATTATCCCTTATTGGGCAGATAAGGCACCAAAGGCTAAGTAATTTGCCCCAAACCAGTAAGTGGTAGAGCTAGAATTCAAACCTAGGCAGTCTGGATCTTAACTACTATCCCCTCATTAGAGTGGACAGAAAAGAAGAAAGGTTGTTAGCATTTGGTGCTCCTTTCTCACAGAAGAGCCTCTTCTAACAATTCGAATGCCCACCCCCTTAGAGTGGGATGGTATCCCCATGAGATTTTTCACTTACTCCTGGAAGGCTGACAACACATTGACTGATTCTTCTGGGGAGAGGCCTTGATACGGGGGGATGGAGTGAGAGTGTGGTGGGTACACCTGGGGCCTAGGGAAAGAAAACAGACCCCCTGATGCCAGCCCTTCTCCTGGACACCACCACACCCTGCTTTTGAACGGGTGTCCCTTTCATGGAAAGGAAAATTCCCTGTTCAGCCCCCAGTGCCAGCTCTCCCAGCTGCCCATGCTAAAAGCCCATCTGCACAGACCACTCCCATTCCTGTCTTTCCAGCTCCTTACACCATATCTGGGCCAAGCTGCATGCTCATGGAGGAATCAGGGGCCATTCCAAGGTCATAAGAAGGCACCATGGTAGGCATCTGGAGCTCTGGGGTAGGAAGTGGCTGGTCCCTGGAGGAGGGAAGGAGATACATATGACTGACCAAGAGTTGATGCCACCCCTCCTTCCTGCAGATAAGCACTAGACCCCTAACCTACCCACTGTCCACACCACCACACTCACCTTTCCACGGTCATCTTGATGGTAGCTGGGACATAACCCCTGCCATCCTTACCCATCTGTTCAGCTGTTGTGAGAAGGAAAAGAGAGCCATGGAGTGCTCTGGAGTTAGGGAAGAAGGGAGGTGGAAAAGGTGGGCATGGATGATGGGGAAGTAAGAGAAGCGCAGCTATGTAATAGGGAGTGACATCAGGATGACACAGGCAGGCAGGGAGAGGAGGGCAGCGGGGAGCAGAGAGGAAGTGGGTGACAGGAAGGAATCAGAACTGCCAGTTCCAGCTCACGCTTGTAGTGGCTCCGGAAAGCCTCATCCTTGGGCTTCTTGGGATAGAGGTTTTTGAGCTGAGCAAGATCCCGGATTCGGTCCCCCAGTGAACGAATGGACAGGTCTTTGGCAGAGAATGGCTGGATGTTCTCTATCTGTGGAGAGCCTATGGTAGGAATGAGACCCTGAGATCCCCCTGTTCAGACTTTCTTCCCCTTCCCCAACCCCCACCACAAGACCTGTTCTCACTCCACCAAGGCAAGGGGGAGAGGACCTAGGGTGGGGCTCCTGAGGGAGCGAGACCCACTAGTCTCCATTCCCACAGAGGTCACGGTGAGAAGGTGAACATTTAGACCCCAGAAGGAAGAAGAGAAGCTGGAAGAACTTCCTAAAGATCAGGATCAGCATCAGGAAGGTCAGGACGTTTCATTCCCAGAAGAAACCCCAGAGGGCACAGGCACAGAGACATAGGACTGGCTGGGGTGGCCTCACCATCCTGGCCCCGGATGACGTGGGCAATGGTGATGCCCCCAATCTCTGAGTCGCTGAAGCGGAGGAGAAAGGTTCCGTCGGGCTCGTTGAGAAGAAGGCTAGTAACGTACTGTTTGCTGATGAAGCCGATAATCAGCCTGGCCGGGATGAAAGAGAGGATGGGGCATGGGCAGTGAGTATGGAGGTGACTGGGGTATGGCTGCTCAGACCACCCAGGGCGGGGACTCACCGGTCAGACCAGTAGCTCCGGAGACAGCGTTTGGTGAGGTCCAGGACACCATCAAACCACTGCCAAAAGGTGAAGCCACGGCCCAGCAGGATCTCCTAGCGGGAGAAGGGAAATGGTGTGAGCCAAGAGAGGGCCAGAGCTGGAGCCTGTTTAGGGCAGGCACTGAGCTGTGAGTGCCCTCATGACAGAATCACAGGGCTGAGGGATCGGACCGAACCTGAGACTCCATCAATGACAACGACCAATCCTCATGCTTACATGTGCCAGTCACTATTTCAAGCCTTTCCATATATTTATTTGCTCTTTATAAGGCTATGGAGGTAGGGACTATAATAATTCCATTTTACAGATGAAGAAATGGAAGTCCAAAAACGTCGAATGACTTGCCCAGGTCTACACAGCTGGTAAGAGGCAGAGCTAGGATTTAAACCCAGGCATTCTGGCGCTGGAGCCCCTGTTAACTACTGTGCTACACCCTCTCCCTAAGGAGGTGTGGCAGAGGTGAAGCCCAAAGGAAGGTAACCTGCTGGGTGTGACTGTCTTGCTCCCTTTTGCTAAAACACCCTCTGGTCACATGAGCCTTTCTTTCTTCTCTTTAAAGATTCTGTCTCACACTAAGAAAGAAAGAAAGAAAAGAAGGAAAGGAAAGGAGAGGGGAGGGGAGGGGAGGGAGGGAGGGAGGGAAGGAAGGGAGACCAAAAATTAAAATAACGTAATATAACATAAAATCAAAGAGCAAGAGTCAGAAATATGTAGTTCTGTCCTAGCCATGGCACTCACCTGCTTTGGGACCTTGAACAAACTACATAACCCTCTGAGCATCAGATTCCTCATCTGTAAAATGGGGATAATAATAGTATCTACCTCAAAGGAATGTCGGGAGGCTTAAGTGAGATAACATACATAAAGTGTTAAGCACGGTGCCTGGTATATAATATAGCTGTCAACACGTGGTAGCTGGTATTACTGCACATGTCCCTATGGGATTTTGTTCAGTTTAGACAGAATCTCATTCTGTCAGCAGGCTGGAGTGCAGTGGCACAATCTTGGCTCACTGCAACCTCTGCCTCTCAGGTTCAAGTGATTCTCCTGCCTCAGCCTCCCAAGTAGCTGGGACTACAGGCATGCACCACCATGCCCAGGTAATTTCTGTATTTTTAGTAGAGACAGGGTTTCACCATGTTGGCCAGGATGGTCTTGATCTCTTGGCCTTGTGATTCGCCCTCCTCAGCCTCCCAAAGTGCTGGGATTACAGGTGTGAGCCAGCCTGGGCCTTTTTTTTTGATATGGAGTCTTGCCCAGGCTGGGGTGCAATGGTGCGATCTTCCCTGCAGTCTCCACCTCCTGGGTTCATCTCCTGCCTCAGCCTCCCGAGTAGCTGGATTACAGACGCAAACAACCACGCCTGGCTAATTTTTTGCGTTTTTAGTAGAGACGGGGTTTTGCCATGTTGGCCAGGCTGGTCTCGAACTCCTGACCTCAGGTCATCCACCCGTCTCGGCCTCCCAAAGTGCTGGGATTACAGGCATGAGCCACCATGCCTGGCCCCCCTCTTTTTTTTTTTTTTTTTTTGAAACAGTCTTGCGCTGTCACCCAGGCTTGAGTGCAGCGGTGTGATCTCAGCTCACTGCAACCTCCGCCTCCCGGGTTCAAGTGATTCTCCTGCCTCAGCCTCCCACGTAGCTGGGATTACAGGCATGTGCCACCACAACTGGCTAATTTTTGTATTTTTAGTAGAGATGGAGTTTCACCATGTTGGCCAGGATGGTCTCGAACTCCTGGCCTCAGGTGATCCGCCCACCCCGGCATCTCAAAGACTGAGATTACAGGCATGAGCCACTGTGCCCAGCCAGTAACAATTTTTCCAATGGGTCAAAGTCACTTTGAATCAGAGCTCTGTTTACACACAACCTGGGTGAGTCATGCAAGTCGCTGGTAAAGAGAAAGGACAGATGACCTCCAGACCAAAACCACAGGGATGTCAGAGAATGCATCTCTGGAGCCAACCCCCAGACCTGGGGTTTTTCCTCCCTGGTCCATGACAGGCCTTCCTAAAGGACCTGAGAGGGCACTGTGGAGACTCCAGCGGAAGGTCCCTGCATGGAGGCTGAGCAGGCCCTGAGTGCCTGAGGCATGAAGAGCTTGGGGGTGGGAGGTCCAAAGGGCAGGAGAATGACCTTGTTGAACTGTGACCAGGACACAGAACGGTGCTGGAAGGCCTCCATGCTGAGGCTGTTGTCATTGAAGATCTTCTGGGCCAGGAAGAGGAAGTGCTCTGGGAGCAGCCCCCGGTTGGTCCCCACCTCAGCCATGAACTTCAAGTTCAGAGTTTCACACATCTTCTCCCAGGGCACCCGCTCAGCCACCACAAAGGGCACGCGGTCCTGAGGAGAAGGGGGAAGAAGAGAGCATCAGAGGCTACCGTCTTGTTCTTCCTCAGGCCGGCCTTCATCCCTCCCACCTGCCTGTGGCCTGCCCATCCACAGCACCTGATATCGCTCACGAACATGCTGCTTTTTCTAGGTCACAGTGCTGTGGCCTGATAGTTGTTAAGACTGGGGTGAAAAGAGGTCAGAAGTACGAAAGTAGGCCCATGAGAAGGTGTTAAGGTCACACCCATTTAAACATGCCTGCCACCCCATCAACAGGCCTGCACCACTGCCCATATTAGAACCCACCCTGCCCCTGTTCCCTCCAACTCCAGGAATTTCCTCACCATCTCAGAGAAGGCATTGTCCCACAGGATGGTGGCTTTGGCATTGTTGTCTTGGTTGCCATGGACGATGACCACCAGGGGCAGAGACAGGGCCTGAAGAGGGTGAGGACAGGGGTTTCTTTTCTTTCTTTCTTTCTTTCTTTCCTTTTTTTTTTTTTAAGATAGTATCTCACTCTGTTGCCCAGGCTGGACTGCAGTAGCACAATCTCAGCTCACCGCAGCCTCACCCTCCAGGGCTCAAGTGATCCTTCCGCCTTGGCCTCCTGAATAGCTGGACCTACAGGTATGGACCACCTAATCCAGCTAAGTTTTTATTTTTTGTAGAGATTGGATCTCCCTATGTAGCCCAGGCTGGTCTTAAACTTGCAGGTTCAAGCGATCCTCCTACCTTGGCCTCCCAAAGTGATAAGATTTTTTTTTTTTTTTGAGACAGAGTCTTGCTCTGTCACCCAGGCTGAAGTGAAGAGGCGTGATCTCAGCTCACTGCAACCTCTGCCTCCCGGGTTCAAGCGATTCTCCTGCCTCAGCCTCCTGAGCAGCCCTGTCTGTGATAAGATTTTTTTTTTTTGAGATGGAGTTTCGCTCTTGTCACCCAGGCTGGAGTGCAGTGGCGCGATCTCGGCTCACTGCAAGCTCTGCCTCCTGGGTTCACGCCATTCTCCTGCCTCAGCCTCCCAAGTAGCTGGGACCACAGGTGCCCGCCACCACGCCCAGCTAATTTTTTGTATTTTTAGTAGATATGGGGTTTCACCGTGTTAGCCAGGATGGTCTTGATCTCCTGACCTTGTGATCTGCCCACCTTGGCCTCCCAAAGTGCTGGGATTACAGGCGTGAGCCACTGCGCCTGGCCAATTTTTTTATTTTTAGTAGAGACGGGGTTTCACCATATTGGCCAGGCTGGTCTTGAACTCCTGACCTCGGGATCTACCAAAGTGCTGGGGCTACAGGCCTCCCAAAGTGCTGGGGCTACAGGCGTGAGCCACCACGCCCAGCTGGACAGGGGTTTCTTAATAAAGCAAGAAGTTTCCTCAGGGGGCTGGCTCTGAGGACTCAGAGAAGTTACTGGACTCACACATCATAATCAAAAAGTTCATGCCATGTTATTAAAAGTTTTCTGAAGCTCAGTCAGGGCCTCACTCTAGAGAAGTGGTTATGAGTCACTGCTATGGAGCTAGACCTCCAGGTTTCAAATACCAGCTCCAACACTTAGCTGTGTGACTGGGACAAACTACTTAAACTGTGTCTCAATGTCCTTATCTATAAAATGAGGCTGATAATACTGCCTACCTCATAATGTTACTGTGAAAACCAAACATGTGTGTGCTGGCACACATGTGCGTGTGTATCATTTAATAGAGAGACCTGGTCTATAGGAAGTGCTTCCTAAGTGTTTGCTGCTATCCGCTACCATTCCCTGCCCCGTGCGCTCCATGTTCTTGCTTCACCCCACTCACCCGGGCCCCAGTGTGCATGAATGTGCATGAATCCCAGACACATGGGGTATGGGGCAGTCACAGGAGGTGAGGGTCCAGGGACCCTGTGTGTGGCATTAGAGAAGGACTCGGGGTCCCAGATTGGGGTAGGGCTGGGCCACGGTTCACCTGGAGCTGGATGGGGAGTTTGCCGGGGCCAAGTGTGAAGCTGGCAGAGAAGAGCACAGCGCACTTCTCCTCTGTGACAGACTCAGTGCCCTTCCGCTCACACCGCTTGATCTTCTTGAGAAGCTGTGGGTGGGGTGAGGGAGAGCAAGGGCGAGTGCATGAGGACAGAGACCGCTCCTCTTGGGCTTCCCGACATCCTCTCCAAGGAGAGTCCCAGAGTCTCCTAGTGGTGCCCCCCTCACTGCCCACTGCACCCCAAAGCCCCTCACCAGGTTCTTGAACAGGGCAGAGCAGCAGTTCCCAGGAATGCTGTTCTCCAAGGGCACAGTGTTGTTGATGATTTCTCCAGTGCTTTCTCTGCCAGGGGAGGTCAGAGTGTGAACAAGCTCATCTCACTGTGGCCAGGTGTGGCGACGCGCTTGAGTGCATGAGTGAGTGTAGACTACCCATTGTTGCCAGCCCTAAATCTCCACGTCTCTGTTTGGGTTCTTAAGGGAGGAGTCCCCATCTTGGCCAAGTCATGATGCCCCCACCCCATTCCAGCCCTAAATGGGTCCCTCCCTTTCCTCTGCCTTGACCATTCAGGGTCTCCACATCCCATGGCCCTCCCTCCCCATCCCTTGCTCTTTTCAGTGCCAGCCCCCTAAGCTGCCTCCATCACCCTAACATGCCTTCTCCAACCCCAGGTCCAATCCCAGCTTACGCTCCAGCCCCAGGACCCTGAGGCACACTCAGCTCCCTCGCTTGCTTCTCTGTCACCATGTCAGCCCTGACCAGTGGAGGCTTGGCTGGGGCCCCCAGGAACCTCAAGCCCAACAGGAATCGAACTCCAGCCTGGAACTTGGTCTGAGTCTTCAGTACCTGGGGCGGCTGCTTCTCCACCAGGAAACAACTGGGAGTGAGGAGGACACAAGGGGAGTTGGGGGCTAGGTCTCTGCTGGTGCCCTCCCCACAGCTCTAGCCCCCTTCTTTTCTTCCTGAGGTCTGTTCTAGGCCAGACTGGGGACTCCCGGGACATACCTGGTGACGAGGGTTCGCAGGACTTCATCCAGCCGGCCAATCAGCGATGCCCGGGTCTTGGGCTCAAGCTCCCCACCAGCCGCCCCTACCTCCTGCTGTAGCTGGGAATAAATGTCCACCAGGCTCTCACACCTGGGGCCAGGACAGTGGTCAGGGGGCATAGGATTAAGGCTGCTTGCTCCGGCCCAGACCCCCTTCCACTATACCCAGGGAGAAAGGCTATCATGCGTGGAGGAGTGGGGTGGGTAGTGGGTATGGCTGCAAGGCACCTGGGCTGAAGGGGGTTCTGTGATCTGTTGGCCTAGGGTCTGGGTGGGAGGTTTGTTCTCAGTGCCTACACCCCTGTGGAAATCCAGCTGCCTCTCCCCTGATGGCTCTTGCACCCAGGACAGCTACCCGCCCTTACAGTGCTTTGTAGCAAATTGGAAAGTGTTCCCACCCAATAAACCAAATGGAAAAGCCCTCCTATTCCTCTGGGCATGGAGAGAAGCCTGGGTTGGATGAGTCCCCGTTTGTGCCTCTCGACTGGGCCCACTTGTACAGGATGCAACCTGAACGACAGTGTGCACAGCCCCGTGGAACCGGCTTTTATGCATCTTGGTCCACTCCAAGGCCCTCCCGCCTGGCTTCTCTCTCTCACCTGTAGGGCCTCCAGCAGTGTCAGCTGCCCACCCCCAGCTTATCCCCCCTTCCCCATCAGCCCTGGCCCAACCTCTCCTGGAGTGGGGCCAGGCTCTCCTCAAAGGGTGCGCCATTCCCTGCCAGCTGCTGCTGCCGTTTCCAAATCTGGATCCTCTTCAGCACTAGGGCCTTGGCTGTCTCCAGCTCTCCAGTGGTCTCCTGCAGTAGCATGGCCAGGGCCTATGGGCAGAAAGGGGCCTGAGCCAGAGCCTCACGCTGCCTCCGCACCCAGCTCCTGGGATACGGCTCTTTTTCTCACTCCTCTGGAATTCCCTTACCCTACTTCAGCCTGTGTGTCTCTGAGGTCTGGCTTCCATGCCTCCAGCTGCACTTTGACCTCAGTCTCCACCTCTCAGCCCGTTACTCACCTCATTTGGCCCAGTCCCATTAGCAGGAGTTTCTATCAAGCTGTGCAGAGACACTGAGGGTTGGGGGCAGAAATCAAGGGTGCAGACAGATTAGAGGTTCAGTTAAGGTTGAGATCCAAGAGGGGACCACTCCTATACACTCCCCAGAACCACCCTGGCCCCCACCTTGGCCAGCGTCAGCCCCCTTCTGCAGGGCTTCTCGAAGAAGGTGGATCTCCCCTACTCGGTGCTGCAGCCTCCGCAGGGCTGTCTTGAACTTGAGTTCTTCCTGCTTCCAGTGGAAAGGCATTGGCAAGTGGCGAAACTACGCAGGAAGGACAGATGCCAAGAGGTGAAACACTCTGCTCATCCCTCTATACCTGGCCTCTACTCTCTGCTCTGCAGAGAGCGTTTTCTTGCTCCCCTCTCCCCTGTGGCAGTTCTTCCTGACCTTTTGGAATATCGTGGGACCTTGCTCCTAGCAGAATCAGCTCCTTATCCCTTGCTGTGTTCTCTCCAGGCCTCTTACCCTCAGTCCCTCATAGAAAGATTCCCTGAGCTTGACTTGGGGTTCACTCTGACCTTAAGAACCTCCTTTGGTTATTCCTGGGCCTAGAACACTGAGCCTTTACTGAGGTTCAAATTCTTTCTAGTTTGTCATGGCTCAGGCCAAAGTCTCAGGGAATTGAGTTGGGGTGGGAAGTGGAATATCACAATACCTGTTCCATAACAGCTTTTTTCTCTCCTTGAAGTATTTGTCTGAAAGTGGCCACCAGCTTCAGGGGGTCCCTCTGATATATGCTCTATAGAAATGAGAGTGGTAAACAGTGAGCTTGGCTCTTACCCATGTCCCTCAATCCCTCCAATCCCCAGGCCCCCATTCACACATATACTATAAGGCAGCACAACTGTAGACTCCAGAAGTTTTTGTGCATTTGCATGCTTTTAAAATCTAATTTGCCTGCTAGCTAGTAGCTAACCACAGGAACACAAATTTGCTTCCAGCATCCAACCAATTTTCTTCCAGGGCCCAATGCTCAACCCAGTTCAACCTCAGCCCCACCCAGCCTTGTTCCCTCCCGTCCTGCCCCACCTCCAGGGTACTGATGTGTTGCAAGATGGTGCTCCCCTCCCCCTGCTCTCCCGCCGAGGCCTGAAGGCGCTGGACAGTGTCTGAAAGTAGGGCACTAGCCATGTTGCAGCAGAAGGCGTCTGAGCCGACCAGGAACTCCCTGCAGGAAGATCAGGATGAGGCTACCTCAGGCCAGGGCTTCCTCAGCTCTCCTGACCCTTTACCCCACAGCCAAAAGCTCAGCAGTTCCTTTCTCGCTCCTTATTCTCCATCTAGGCCCTCTGTAGCTTTCACCCGTGCTCCTTGTTCCCCAGTCTTCTAGCTGTTATGAGAAGTGCCTTTGTCCCAGCCCAAACCTCCCTCCTCTTCAGCTCAGCCTCCTAAGAGATGGGGTCTCCATCTGTCAACATTCATAGGCTGGTCTTGATGGGGCACAGACTCCCTGCTAAATCTAGGTCACTACACATGGAATAACAGGTCTCAAGTTCTGAATCCATGGCTGAGGGGAAAAAATCTAAGGAGAAGGAAGATGAATCAGGGAAGACTTGGGGAACCAGCAGGGAACAGCCAGGACTCACCAGGGCTGGCTCTCCAGCCAGTCACCCAGAAGATGCCGCAGGTGTTGGGGAAAGTCGACATAGAGCCGCTGCACTTTTTCTGGGGGCATCTTGGAGACCAGACCCCACAGAGACATGATCTGGGACTTGGAGGTTGCCTGGAGGAGAAAAATAAGGCCACTCTGAGGGGTGCCCAAGAAACTTGGCCTATCTTCTGGAGCAGCCAGGGACCTCCTATAGCTAGCCCTCCTAGGGACCATCCCCACCACCACTCATGGCCAGACCACCTTAAACCGGGGGCATCCTGGGTCAATAATGCCTGAGATGGCGGTAACTCCTTCAGTGATAGACACAGGGGTGGAAAGAGCTGAGCTGTAGCCAGAGGGGTGGGGAGGCAAAGGGAGACAGGGCAGTAGGGAGAGAGCTCTCTTGGAGATGGCAGAGAATTTGGTTGCAGCTCTAGACCTGACTCTGGTTCTGTGGGCAAGGAGCCTTCCCTGTGTGGGCTTTGATTTTCTCATCTATAAAATATGAGTGTTAGATGAATGGAAAACTTTCCAAACTTTTTAAAGCAGTAGGCAATGTCAGCTTTTAATCTGTGGAATCTCAATTACATAAAAGGTACGAAACTGAAGATGCCCTGTTGAAAGCAAGCATGGAAAGCCTGAAACTTGACTGCTTCTACTTCCCTCTCCCCATCTCCTGACGCCAAAGGCGTCCCTAGACAAACCTCTCAAAATTCTAGGACTCCATGAGATAATTTGAAAACCACAAGGCTCGGCCAGGAGCGGTGGCTCAAACCTGTAATCCCAGCACTTTGGGAGGCCGAGGTGGGCGGATCACTAGGTCAGGAGATCAAGACCATCCTGGCTAACACAGTGAAACCCTGTCTCTACTAAAAATACAAAAACAAAATTAGCAGGGCGTGGTGGCAGGCCCCTGTAGTCCCAGCTACTCGGGAGGCTGAGGTGAGAGAACGGTGTGAACCCGGGAGGCGGAGCTTGCAGTGAGCCGAGATTACACCACTGTACTCAAGCCTGGGCGACAGAGCGAGACTGTCTCAAAAAAGCCTGGGCGACAGAGCGAGACTCTGTCTCAAAAATATATATATATATAAGTAAATAAAATTAAATAAAAATGAAAACCACAAGGCTAGATGATGAAGAGGATGGGAGAGTAATAACAGCTACTATTTGTTAAGCACTTACCACGTAGGAGGCATTACACTCAGTGCATTATCTCATTCAGGCCTCATGACACTTTTGAAAATATATAATATCCATTTTATAGATGAAGAAACTGAGGCTTAAGGAGTTTCTGTACCCTGCCCAAGGTCACTCAGTAGGTGAGTTTGGAAAGCAGGCTTTGAATCTGAGTGGGGATTAACCATCGCACTGTGTTGTTAGGATCCCTTCCAGGGGCAAATCTGATCATCCTAAGAAGTGGGGGAAGATGGGAGGAGACTTGAAGGAGGAGAGTTGGAAAAGGAAAGTAGAGAGAACTAAGGAAGAGGATGGGAGAGACCGGAAAAAAAGGCAGGTTTAGTAAGCCAGGAGGAAAGAGCCTAGAAGAGAGAGGAAGCTGGAGGTGAAGAAGAGAGACGAAAAGAGGGAGAAAGGAGAGAAGGGGACAGGGAAGTAGAGGAGGGGGTTGCATCCCCATTTCCAGGTTCAGGGGGAACTGGGTAGACCAGTGGTTTCCCAGGGGCCTCTCAGTTCACGTTTCTCACAATATCCCTCTCCTAGAGATGAGGGAGAGGATGGGATGACAACTCCCCCGGTCTCCCAAAAACCAGTAACCCCAAGTCCTCCTGTTCCACGTTCAGCCTCTCACTTCACCCAGGACTCTCAAAGGGATGGAAAATGGAGAGGCCCCTTCTCTGGACCTTCCTGCTCCAAGACCTTCATGCCCCTCTTTCCTCCAGTTCCCACTTCCCCCAGCTCTTTTCTCCTCAAGGCGAATCCTTACCCCTCCTGCTTAGGTCCCTCCAATAGGCCTTTCTCTAACCCAAGAGAGAAAGGTCCTCTGGAATGGGTGGGCATCGCTTTCCTCTGCATCCCCTTGCAAAGTGACCAGCCTCCTGGCATGGCCCTGGCTAGAAATATCCAACCCCTCTTCTTCCCCAGACATTAGGAGGACACATTTCTCCCCACCCCAACTCATAACAACGCTGGGTCGATTGGCTTGACCAGGACAGGGGCTCCTTTAGCGTTCAGCCCGCTGTAGGGGAAGGGAGGGAGGAACCACGGCGTGAGGGGCGGGGCCAGTGTTCCCTCCCAAACCCAGAAGGGAAGCGCAAGGTCTGGGATCCTTGTCCGCCCGCTTGGTGGCCTAAATTCGCTTATCTCAACCCCTACCTCCCGAAGTCCTCTGACTGTGGGACCACAGGATCGAAAGTTAAAACAGCTTCTCTGAGTTGCCCAATGTGTGGATGTGGCGGTGGGGGCGGGCGGGGAGGTGGAGCCAGTTCAGCACGAGGAGGGTTAACTCGGCGCCACCGCTGGGAAATCTCAGCGTCTACAGCAGCCAAGCGTGGAGCAGTTTTGAGGGGGAAATTCCCCCTCCTCTAGGGCACCATGAGGTCTACATCTGGGGCTCGCTCACCCCCCAGCCACACCCTTGAACAGGAACCTTTAGCGGAGGGCAGGATAGGGGTTTAACGAGGATCCACTGCCCTCTGGCATCAACCTTCCAGGGAGGGGCGGCCACTTCCCCCGACCCAGGGCAGAGGAGCACTCCTTCACCTTCTTTCCCTGACTTTCCATTGCCCTGGGGGTGCAGGGGTGAGGCTGTGAAAACGTGACCCATGGGGGAGGGGAGTACTGAGGCCTGGACCCTCCCAGATTCCTCCAGGAGTTCGAAACTGCCAAAACCCAGTGCCATCAGCCACCAACACTAGCTGAAACCATCTCTTGGGGACCATCCACCCAGCCAGGGGAGGATCCCGAGAGCTCCCCCGCCGAATCCACCCCCACACACTCAAAGAGGCCCCCGCACCCACCTCGGAGGCAACCCCTCTGCTGTCTTCTCCCTTTCTCAGCGGGCACTGCCAGGCCCCATAGGTCTGTAGCTCTGTCCAGCGAGTTCAAGGCTGGCCCTGCTAGCACCTCCCCCCTTCCACCACCATCACCAAAAAGAAAAATAAAATAAAACACACACATACATACACACACACACACTCCTCTCCCGTCCTCCCTCTTCAGTGTAAGCAGTGGCTGCCCCAGCCCGCTGTTTCCGGCTTCTCCTTCTACCCAGGTCCCTCCCTGGAGCTCTGACGACACAGAGAAGAGAAAGTGGGCTGGAGGAGGAAGAGGAAGAAAGTGGGGTGAATATGTGTGCCTCCTGTGCCGAGTGGGGGAGCACGTGGGGGATCAGGACTGGGGTCCAGGCCCTGGAGCCAGGCTCCGGCGGAGGCTGACCCCCACTTACTGTGGCCCCCTCAAAAGCATCAGCTTTTCTCCAGAAAGTCACCCAATATCAAACAGAGACATGCCACCCCTAACTGCTTGGCTCCCAAACTCAAACTCTGCCAAGGGCTGGGGTTTGGGCCCACGAGGGACTGGGCTCCCCAGGGCCTCAGGAAAAGTAAATCCCTCTGGACTCTGCGCTCCCTCCAGTGGAGGACCCTGAAAAGCAGCCGGGGAGCTCGATGCCAGCCAACTCCTAGGTCCCCCTCCCTTCTGGCAGGGAACGCCTTAGAGGTCGGTCTCGTGACCACTGACGGGAGGGAGTGGGGGAGGGGAACCCTCAGCTCAGAATTCTGGAAGACTCCAGGAGTCCCTTGGACTGAAGCTGGTCTTTGCCCTCTCCTCACAGGGCACCCCTCCTGAGACTGTGGGGGGAACCAGCACAAGCCGGAGCTGCTGCCTGCAGATTCACAAGGGACAAGTTTGAATTCGAATCTGCTGTGTTCCTATCTGCCAAGTTCCTATCTGTTTCTGGGGTAAACACTGAGACACGCCAAGAAACAAACACACACATGCACAACTTCCCTGACCACAAGACTACACACACATACACACACACACACACGTGCAGGCAGGCTCACAAACATATCCGCACTCAGAGCCCACTGTACTCACAACACCATACACACACACACACACACACACACACACACACACACACACACACACAGTCTTGCTCAGCTTCTGAGTCATCATCATAACTAGTGGAGGGTTCTGCAGTTTTTGCTGGGGGAGGAGCTGGAGGAGACCAAGGAACCCAGAGAGGCCTTTACTCCCGGACACCTGAGAGCCCAGGTGTGTGGAAGAGGTGGTGTCTGAGGGGCGGCGGGAGGAAGTTTCTGCTCCCCTCCTCCCTCCCATAGCCGGGCTGGGCTGAGGGGCCAAAGCTAGGCCTATGCTGCCCCCTGGTGCCTGAACTGATTTCCAGACCCAGCTCCTCCCACTCCATCCCTTGGTACCCCGCAGGTCTGTGCATGAGTGCATGTGTGTGGATCCAGCCAGGCAGCAGAGGGTTTGAACACAGCAGAATATAGCAGTTAAGAGACTGGACTGTGCATACAGGCTGCTTGGGTTCAAATCCTGCTAATGCTGCTAACCACACAACCCTGGGCAATTTACTCTGTGATTCATTCTCGTCATCTGTAAAGTGGAGCAAATAAGTCTTAACTCATAATGTTGTGAGAATCAAATGCAGTAATACATCTGAAGGCTTAGAACAGTGACTGACACACAGTAACTGTCAGGCACTATTTTTATGGTTCTTAATAAACCAGGTATGAGGAAAGGAGAAGGGTCTCCATCCTACATAGAAGTTCCCAGATTTGGCGGTCATATTACTGCCAAAAGAATCCTATTGAGAGTGTATGTGCATATGTGTCCGCTGTGTCTGCAGGGCAGTGAATGGAAGAGAAGGGAGGCACAGGTGGAGGTGGCAGGCAGGGACTCTGTCCATTGGCTTGTCCAACAAGCCATCCTAGGATCAAGGTGTGTGCACATACGTGTTCACGGCACACGTGCTTTGTATGTGCTCCTGGGTGCCCACTCTGCCTGCAGACATCCGCAGACAGTAGGTGAAGCCAGGTTTCACCATCTAGGGGTGTCAGAGCTACAAGTCCCCAAAGACTTGGGTAGCAGGAGGGAAAAGAGTAAATGTGCTCTCTGACTTTCGCTCCTTTTAAGGGGTAGGAAGGCAAGGCACAAGTACTGGTAGAAAAATGGTATTAATTGTCTCCCTCTCTAACTGATTATACCAATGGGAACACTGTGATGTAAGGGGGAAAAAAACAGGATTTAGAGGCAAATCTGGCTTGGGTCTGATTCCATTTAGGAGGTTCTCAATCAGGTGTCAATCCCTCAAATGAGAATAATAGTCATACCTACTTCAACAGAGTCTAGGCTAGGGTAAAGTGCCTAGAGTATGAAATTTAAGGAGATACTCATCTTCAGATTGTACAATTGCAGGGTCTGTCAGACCTTCATTAATGACATCTGCACCTGCATGACTGTGAGGGTGACTGTATCACCCTCTCCTGGGCCCTGCCATCCCATCGAGTGGTGGTAAAGATTGCACAAGAGAGGCTCATGCCTGTAATCCCAGGACTTTGGGAGGCTGAGGCAGGCAGATCACAAGGTCAGGAGATTGAGACCATCCTGGTCAACATGGTGAAACCCTGTCTCTACTAAAAATACAAAAAATTAGTCGGGCGTGGTAGTGCATGCCTGTAGTCCCAGCTACGTGGGAGGCTGAGGCAGGGAAATCACTTGAACCTGGGAGGCAGAGATTGCAGTGAGCCGAGATCACGCCACTGCACTCCAGCCTGGTGACAGAACGAGACTCTGTCTCTCACACACACACACACACACACACACACACAAAAGATTGCACAAGAGAAAGCAAAAGGAAAAAATAACTTTATGTCTGTGTACTGCCGGTTACAACCCAATAGTGAGTCACAAAATCAATTTTACAACCCAATAGTGAGTCACAAAATCAATTTGGTGAGTGTATCAGTTTGCTAGGGCTGCTGTAACAAAGTACTACAAATTGTATGACTTAAACAACAGAAATCTCTAAGATGCTGGAGGCTAGAAGTCCAAGATCAAGGTTAACATAAGCAGGGTTGATTGATTCCTTCTCAGGGATGTGAAGGAAGGCTCTGTTCCAGGCCTCCCTCCTTGGCTTGTAGGTGGCCATTTTCACATTCACACAGTGTTCTCTTTGTATGCAAGTCAGCCTCCAAGTTTCCCCTTCTTTCAAGGATACCAGTTATATTGCATTAAGCACTACCCTAATGGCCTCATTTTAACTTAATTACCTCTGTAAAGACCCTGTAAGTGGGTCCTTCAAAATAAGGTCACATCCTGAGGTACTTGGGATTAGGACTTCAAGAGAATTTTTGAGGAACGCAACTCAGCCCATAACAGCATCTTGACCAGGCACAATGGCTCACACCTGTAATCCCAATATTCTGGGAGGCTGAGGCAGGAGGATTGCTGGAGGCCAGGAGTTCGAGACCAGCCTGGGCAACATAGCAACATCCCATGTCTATGAAAAAAATTTAAAACAAAATTAAAAACCAAAACATAAAAAAAAAAACAACAACAGTGTCTTGACCATCACTCTTTAAAACTGAAGTAAAGGCCAGGCGCAGCGGCTCATGCCTGTAATCCTAGCACTTTGAGAGGCCGAGGTGGGTGGATCACCTGAGGTCAGGAGTTCAAGACCAGCCTGGCCAACATGATGAAGCCTCGTCTCTACTAAAAAACACAAAAAATTAACCGGGCACAGTGGCACGTGCCTGTAATCCCAGCTACCTGGGAGGCTGAGGCAGGAGAATCACTGGAACCCAAGAGGTGGAGGCTGCAGTGAGCTGAGATCATACCACTACACTCCATTCTGGGCAACAGAGCAAGACTCCATCTCAAAAAATAAAAAATAAAAATAAAAAAGTGAATAAAATTAAAAAATAAATATCAGAAGGCATCATGTGAAGTAAGGATAAGTATTGTTTAATTAAACTTTTGTTTCAGCTTTATATATGTATCTGAATTCTTTTTTTTTTTTTTTTTTTGAGATGGAGTCTCCCTCTGTTGCCCAGGCTGGAGTACAGTGGCGTGATCTCAGCTCACTGCAACTTCCGCCTCCCAGGTTCAAGCAATTCTCCTGTCTCAGCCTCCCCAGTAGCTGGGACTACAGGCACATGCCACGACACCCAGCTAATTTTTGTATTTTTAGTAGAGACACCATATTGGTCAGGCTGGTCTTGAACTCCTGGCCTCAGGTGATCCACCCACCTCGCCCTCCCAAAGTGCTGGGATTACAGCCATGAGCCACCACTGCCCGCCCTATATGTATCTGAATTCTAAGTCATGATGTAAAACATACTTTTTAGTGCTGGTTGTGTAAAAAAAAAAAAAAGCTATTCCAGCACTTTGGGAGGCCAAGGTGGGCAGATCACCTGAGGTAAGAAGTTCGAGATCAGCCTGGCCAACATGGTGAAACCCCATCTCTACTAAAAATACAAAAATTAGCCAGGCATGGTGGCACTGTCCTGTAGTCCCAGATACTTGGGAGACTGAGGCACGAGAATTGTTTAAACCCAGGAGGTGGAGGTTACAGTGAGCCAGGATCACACCACTGCACTTCAGCGACAGAGTGAGGGTCTGTCTCAATAATAATAATAATAATAATAATAACAATGGAAGCACAATTTGGATACTGGTGGCCACTACATGTTCCTTTGTATTGCTTTTTAATTATTTTGTGGGTACATCTTTCTTCCTCAACAATAACACAAGTTCAAGGAGGGCAAGGACTCATATTATACTGTACACACTGCTGTGCCGCAGCTAGAAAAGACAACATGCATTCTTGCTGGTAAAGATACCAAGGGCTACAATTAACTGAGTGTCTCCCGTGTACTTGGTTCTGGGCTAAATGTTTTACACATAGTCTCCTATATAAGGACTAAACTGATTGATGGATTGATTGCTGGAGCTCAATACATTTCACAGACAAGACAGTTCAAGAACACTGAATAGTGGCCCGTGATTTGTGGAGGATGAGGGAAACGAGAAGGAGGTCACAAAAGAATTGTGGGAAGCTGCTGAGGGCCCCTAGCCAACTCTGTCTCCCAGGCCTTCACTGTTCTCCCCAAGTTTCCATCCATCTTCATACCAACTCATCATTTAATTAGGAAACACCTGTGCTCAAGGCCCCTCCCTTCTGCCTCTTCAGGCACTTGTTCCATTTATTATCCCCTTGATTCCCCAAATCTCCACCCTCCTGCTCTGTAGTTATGACAGCTCTATACTTTCAGC